CTTTTGCCTTAAATGACACAATAACAATGCTAGTTGTTGGTGTTTTGGGTTGTTTGAGTGTATGTGTCAGGACGGGTTGCGCTTCTTTTGCTAACAAAGTATTGTGCTGATTACATAAAAGTAAATTTCAGTAAATGTACTAACCAGTTGTTTACTTTGATTCAACGCATTTTCGGGCATTTGTGTGCCTCATGGTTAAGCCAAACCATCTGGTGGTAAAATAAGCTCACTTGAAATACCATTGACCCGCGTCTGCTACCCACAGATTGTGCAGTGTCATGGCCTCTTTTTTGAGGCACGTCACATGATTATGACAATATATGATTTTACTCTCTTATTCTTCCCTCCACCCTGTTTCATGGTTGCAGTTTTAAAGTGCTAATGTGGCGTGTCAAGCCTTTTTAATGGGATGCACGGAGGCTCGGAAAGCGCGGCTTTAAATAGAAATATATGCAGCGATAACACCATAACATTAATGGCTAAAGAAGGGAATAGGCTTATAAAGATGGAATCACGCACATTACCAAGGAGATGTAATATTTAGATGCCCGGTATCATTTAAAATGCAGTATATGTGTTTTAAGATGAATATATTTAAATATTTCTTGGGTAACAAAAAAAATCCCTCATAGAAGTGGACAACAGATAAGATTCAATTCAAATATTACCTCAAGTATGTATAATGTAACCTTATTATAAGACGCTTTATCACAAGTCATTCATCAAATATATTAACTTTATACTATTTTTGCAGCACTGTTATCTGTAATGGTTGACTTATACGCCCTGTCCAGAATAGTTTCTCCTGTTAGCAGGACGGTGGGAGTAAAGAGGGGTCTCGGAGGATATTTATCTCTTTTTTTAAACCCCTGGGGCTCCAGATATCCATTGCCATGCCTCCTCCCCTGCCTCCTTCTTCCTTTTTCCTCTCTTTCCTCCTCTCCATCTATCTATCCCTCCCTTGTTCTTTTTCTGAGGGGGTCAGAGAGGAAGACGGTCAGACAGGGAGGGGATGTTACTGATGCTCTGTTACTCACCCCCCCCCCACACACACACACACACACACACACACACACACACACACACACACACACACACACACACACACACACACACACACACACACACACACACACACACACACACACACACACACACACACACACACACACACCACACACACACTGATGTATGACCAGGCACAGCTGAACTTGTAGGCCATGCAAGCTCAGTGGCTCAAATGAGAACAAACACACACAAACATTAACACACAGTCTAATGAAGAGCAAGAGCAAGGTCTTGGACTCAAATGGACACACACCAAAACAGACATGCACACACACACACACACACACACACACACACACACAAGAAGGTTTGATAAGACACACTGAAAGAAGGGAAAACACACACCCCTCCTGGCACCCACATGCTCAGAGCCCAGCAGAGAGCGGCGAGCAGGGTGGAAACTCTCATGAAAGGAGTTGTATATTTGGAGAAGACATATCATTAAGATAGGCGGAGGAAGAAGGAAGGGAGGGAAGGATGCGCAGAAACTTTCCATCTGCTCTTTTAAAGAACATGTTATTGCTTTACTCGCTTAAGGTCTTCCTTTCTCTCTCTCTCTCTCTTTCTCTCCCAACCCGCTGAATCACTGCCAAGGGCCGTTAAGGCACCAGAATCACTCACAGACAATATTAAAACTGGCCGACTTGTTGCAGAGCGAGAAACTAAATCACAGTGTTTTGACAGATAGGAGCTAATTTGGTGGTTTAGAAAAAAAAAGAGGAAGACAAAAACAGATTTGATGAACTGGCTTTCAGACCATGTCTTCCTGGTAACTCTTCCATTTAGTGTGTGTTATTTTGTACGTAAAAAACACGTATACGTTTCTATTAGGGGCAGAAAGCAGTGCTGGAATAAGTTTTCAGATCCTTACTCAGATAAAAATAGCAGTACCACGATGTAAAAACACTCATTACAAGTAAAAGTCCTCAATTCACTTGCATACCTAAGGAAAAGTGGTATTCTAAGTAAAGTATATACTTGCATTCATGTTTAGCAAGAATTTCTTAATGCAGCTGATGCACTCGGAACTAATTTGATGAATTATATAAGCTGTCGGATAGATTTCCTGCAACTATGAATCATACAACAACATCATAAGCTTACTTATTTCCGTACTAAAATGGTTATAGTCCACAACTGTCGAACAGAGCACGCAAACACATCATTCTCCAAGTGCTGATGTCTGAGATTGCGTGCGTGTCTGACTGTGTGTGACTAGTTGCGAATATCTGTCGGTCTGAGTGTGTGTGATGGGACGCTAGAGGGTGGAAGCGCTGAAACAGGGTGTATTTGTGCTCTAACTGTGTCCCCTGGCATGGCCGCAGACCCCCGATATCACGAGGAAGACACTCCTGCTTCCACTCGTCTGCGTCACGTAGAATGGACACATTGATCTCTTCTTGTTCAATCAGCTTAGGAAAGATTTTAAAGACACATTATTCACATGATTAGCTTCAATAGGTCTGCAGTAGGAGTGTGTGTGGTGTCTATAAGTGCTCAAAGAGTCAAAAACATCAGATGACACAAGCCCTGAAGAATAATGCTTTCTCACTTCACGTGGAAGGCGAGTGGTGCCACAGATTAACAGATATTTTAATATTTATATTAGCTGATCATTCTACAGTTTGAAAGATACTTGTGCGCACACACACATCCACACAAAGGGCATGAATGAAAGGACTGTTCACATGCACATACGCACACACACACACACACACACACACACACACACACACACACACACACACACACACACACACACACACACACACACACACACACACACACACACACACACACACACACACACACACACACACGCACACGCACACGCACATGCACACACACACACACACACACACACACAGACAGACATAAAGACACACTCAACTGGTTGTAGACGAGAAGTGGACACAAATTTGGCCAGAGGCGACAATGCAATTATAACTTAGCGCATGAAATTAGCTTCCTTGTGTTCCCATTCCCCACAACCAATCACATGGACAAGGGGAGGCTGGGAAAAATCTCCCTCTGCTCTCTCTCTGCTGGGTCGTCCCAGCATTAAACACAATCCTGTTCATTATGCACTGAAAAAACTGTAATGAAAAAATGAAAACGCTGGCGCCGCACTGATTTTGCACGTCTGATTGACTATTAAGTGTGTTTTCTTGTGAGAGACACTATATTTATTATATAGTAGCCACATCTGTTGTTGGACACCATAAGAAAGAAACTAGATAAGGGTCCTGTCAGGGGTGGTCTGTTATCATCAATCTAATAAATACTTTTAAATTACAGAAGAAAATGTTTTGCTCTGATTAGACAAACCACTCAGACCGGTTGTTTTTATTGTTGATTTTTAAGATTCGTACTCGATAATGTGTGTGCTATTGCTACGATGTTAGCATCCTTAAGTGGTGTCTGTTATCAAGGAAGTACATTTTACCTTCAATATTTGTGTTGCCTTCTATTGTTTGGATTGATATATAAACATGGGGAAATTAGATTACACATTGTTGTTATAATTGCACAAAAATCACTCAGTAAAATGCAATATAAACCCTGCTTGGCAAAACACTAAGGAGCTTTTTTAATCCACTTCGGTTATTTTGTTATCTATTTTCTTTCATAAATGTATACATTGCATTTTTTTATATACATATTTCCAGTTAAAGCTATCCATTCAACCATCTATTCTCTCCCCTCCTCCTCCTCCCTCCTCTCCTCTTTTATGGCCGGCCATGGTGTTCAGCACAGTCCACGTCTTGTCTCAGTCATGAACAGCACATTGTCCTCCACGAACAAGGCTCCGTGCAACTGTGATACCCCCCCACTCTAATGTAAATCAACACACTCCCCAAGTTCACATTTATCCAATTTATTCATTCAATATATTTAAACAGGTGGCTCGACTTTAGATATTTTAACGAACACCGGGTATGAGGTTAGTCTCGGTTGTTTTCCCCACATGAACTCTGTCTATTATGCATCCATGTGTCAGATACATATAGAATAATCTCAGAGTGAGGTTAAGTCATCTTGTATCCGTAGAAAATGACCTCCTCTTGTGGTTGGATATCAAAAGAGTTATGAGAGTTAAGTTAAGACCATATAAAAATGGAGGTTTAATCATCTCTGTGTGAAAATCAATTAACATTACAGATATATAACATTGCTCCACCCTCTCACTGCATGGCAGATATTTTGACATTTAATATCTGCAAAATTAAATTAAATGACAAGCTAGGGTGGAGATAACTGTTCAAGAAAGCTTTTCTGCTCTTACGGTTTCATACAATCAGTATTTAAACTGCAAAAGTGATTACACCAAAGTGGTTAGCTTAACAGAGTTATTGTACCAACTGTAATAAGGATAAAGGCAAACAGCAGCAATAAAGAAAAGAGGTTTAATATTCTCCTGTCTGTACTCCATCGGGTTAACGTTACATATTCCCCGCTCACTGATTACATATGCAGCAGGGTGAAAGGGGGGCCGTCGACGCGAATATATTTGTGTAAGAGGCTGCCTAATTACCAGAGCTGGTTCTCCACTTCACTTAACTTTCTAATTGGCTTGCCTTTTTGGCTGCCATTAATTACAAGATTTCATATTCCATTAATGATCGGGTGGGGGGGGGGGGGGGGGGCGTTAATATGCACACACTCACACATACTTACCGTATACATCCATACAGACACACACATACTGACACCTACGCATCAATGAACATGAACACACATCTCGTTTTTTTACCTCTCATTACGCTGTATGATTTTGTGTGTGTGTGTGTGTGTATGTATGTATGTATAACCTGAACAAGTATTTCTGTGCTAAAAGGCACATCAAACCCTTTTCTTCAACAGCTAGGAGCTTCATTAAACAATTTGTGTCAGCCTTTTCTCATAGATGTTTTTTTGAATGTCTCCTGCAGCATCCCTACCCGTCAGAAGAACAGAAGAAACAGCTGGCGCAAGACACAGGCCTCACCATCCTACAAGTGAACAACTGGTAAGTCATTTCAGGGTTTTCATGCAGTCGATTTTAAGGGGTTTTGCGCCCCGAGGCTATCCAAGTTCTTAATGATCGGAATTAATGCCTGCACTCCGCCCCTATTTCCCTCCTACACACACACAGAAACACACACATCACTTACTGAACCATCCTCACCTAGATCAATCCGTCTAAAGAGATATGGCCTGGAGTGATTTTCCACACCAACAGCCCAAACTCTGCCCAAACATGAGCATCTATGTTAATTAAGTCAAACTACCATCTGAAAACATCTAATAAAATCATCCGACATGGCAAGTTGGATGATTTTATTGGATGTTTTTCCAGTCACACAAGAATGATTACTGAAAAAGTGGTAGCTCGGAGACTAATTATATGGTTTTATTTTGGTGTGTATGGCTTTTTGTAGCAGCTTTGACTGTGAAGGACATTAGTTTAAATCAGTTGGTGAACATCTCATTCACATTTAACCCTAGTTCATGAACTGTATTGTCCTTGAAGCTAGTTTAAAGCAAATTTGGTGTGTACTACGTCTGACTTGCAGCACTTCGTCTGCTTACTCTTCTTTATCCTGTCTCTCTTCTGCTGTCCTCTCCAAAAAAAGGGGAAACAGAGCCACACACTTCAGAGGTAGTTAGCCATTAACAATGTCATATTTGTTCTCCAAATGACATTTCAAAAGACGGATAAAATTGCTGCTGTAAACTTAAATTATTACACAAAAATTACCCAAATGTGAAGTTACTTTTGGCATCACATTATAGCAGCAGCTGCTCATTATCCGCTGCTCATCTGTTAAAAATAATTTCATTGGTTGTCCACTGACCATATATTCTTTTTATACATTATAATTTAGTACTTTTCTTATGCATTTAGCATTTTAAGTTGTCCTTGTTAGCAGGGAGCCTGGCTGGGAAGATCACAGCCTGATTTCTATCTTGCTTTTTGCAAATGAATGCTCTGTAAGTGCCAACCAGCCTGTTAATTGGGCACGAGCATGGCTGGCCGGAGCCATAAAATAACGTTGCTAACTAGCCGTTTTAACCTTAGGTAGCACTGTAAAAGGTAGAAAGGGGGCCTATGTCCTTGTGCAGCTAGTCTTATCAGAGAGATGGCTATCAGCACATGCTTAGTGTTATTAGCCGTGTCTAATTAAAGGGGCTGCAGTCTGGGTAACTGAGGCAGGGTCCAGGCAGAGGATGTTTGATCTGAGCGGCCCTTAAAATAATCCTTGAAAGTATCAGTTAGTTGCAAGGTACAGGCATGAAAGTGGAGACTGCAGAAAGGCAAAGCGCAGCAGAAGGAGAGGGAGAGTTAAAGAGCCAGACGGAGTGAAAAATAGATGAAGAGAAAGGAGAGAGAGATAAGGAGAGACGGAGAGAAAGAGATGAGACATGATAAATCCCCATTACCAGCAGTCTAATGATGTTAACATTATTCCCAGCCATTGTTCAATCTGAGACATCAGAGACAGACAGACATCAGATTAGGGTATGGTGTATCAGTCTATGGAGAATTCATTTTATACTGGGCCAAAAATCTTACACATACACACATACACATATACACATACACACACACACACACACACACACACACACACACACACACACACACACACACACACACACACACACACACACACACACACACACACACACACACACACACACACACACACACACTGGAAGAAAAAAGGCATCCTGACCATAGGGAATCCTGTAGAGGTTATCAAATCACGTGACCCCTCTGAAATCCACAGGGGATCAATTCCGAGATAAAGCTGTGTGTGCGTCAGTGTGTGTGTGCGTCAGTGTGTGTGTGTGAGAGAGTCAGTCAGTCAGTCACATGAACAGTAGCTTGGTCACTTAAGGCTGACTGTGTGCTCTCATTCTGTTTGTTGTGTTCATTGGTAGGGGGATAGCAACGCACCCTGAAGGTGTGTGTACTTATGCATGACCAACACACACTGTGTAAATCGTGGGAGGTTAATCTCGGTTTGTGGAAGATGTGTGTGTGTGTAAGAGAGGGGAACCGGGGGTGGTTAATCTAAGGGGTATTAGCTGTTAAACCCTGCATGCTGGGATCCCGCTGCCCCCTCACATTTTGTTGTATACAAGTGTGTGTGTGTAAGTGGTGTGAGTGTGCGTGCTTGTCCAGAGGCACATTTCCATGCACGGTTGTTCGAGCAGGCGAGCGGTACAGTGAAGCGTGGAAGGGTGATTGAGTAGGAAAACAATAAAGATGGGGTGACAGAGAGATAAAGACAAAGACATGGAGAGAAAGAGAGAATGATGAAGAATAGGAGCAGGGATGAAGATAATAAGAGAGGGAAAAAGGTGACTGGAAGAAAGAAAGATAGATGGTGAGACAATCAGAGAGAGAGAGATAGGGAGAGGTTACATTAGGGGAACTGCCATTTCGCAGGCGTGATGTCGGTTGGGAAGCCCCGTCATTGGGTGTCTCCATAGCAACCCCCGGTGATGTTACCTCCTGACCCACTGATTTAGTGAAGTCAATTTCCCTCGCTGTGATTCTGCTGTTGATGAACACACACTCGCTCACACACACAAATGTGTGCATGTCTAAATTCTAAAAGTGATACACACACACATTTTCTCATGCGTTCCCTTGCATCGAATCAGGTCTATAACTGTGACGTCAAGGACTTCAGAAAGCATAAAACACTTGAGGCAGCGCGTTTCACGGTCATATGCTGGCCATCGGCGATGGATTCATGTCGAATGGCCGCGGATGAACTGTGGGTCCTTCCTGTGTGTTGTCCCAACACAATCAAAAACATGTCTGACTGACACACAAAACACACAGCACAGTCCTGTCACATGTTCCTCTCTCTGTCTGACACACACACACACACACACACACATACACACACACACACACACACACACACACACACACACACACACACACACACACACACACACACACATAATCTCTTTACTTTCGTGTGTGCAGTGTATTTTCCTTCACATTTAAGATCACACACTCCTACACCCACATACTGTCTCTCCTTGCGCGCACACTCACACACACACCATAGATGTGTTAACACACATGTCGGTGTGTATTATTGATGAGTGAGCACGCAGTAGGGCTCAACAGATTAAATAAAAATGCTAAAGGCCAGCAAGGGGGCGCAGATCACTCATGAATTATTGGCAGAAATACGCTGCACAAGGGAATCTCAATTTGAATGGGAAAAGTGTGTGAGGTAATACGTGTGCACATTCACACAGCAGAATCTTACATACAGAACGTACACACACACAATGTAAACACCCATATGGAAACACTTTGACAAGTCCCTACATAGATGCCTGTACAGTATATACACACACAGAAATGCCAAGTCACACACAGAACGTATGGACATATACACACGAGGATAAGAGTGGATTGTTCCTACACACACGTACTATCAGATAAGTCACCACATGACAAACAGACACACATTCACAGGTACAACTCAATAGGCTTATTTAACTAAACACACAGACATACAGTTACACAACAAAAAAACTAAACAATTAATGAAGAAAATCCATTATTTTACTCCAAATTTGTATTCCAAAATGCATTTTGGAGAGCCACAGACAGAAGAGAGCCTCCGAATGATTAGTTTATTCTAAGTGTCTTTAAACAATACGACCCTTTACCTACTCACACATTGTAAACAACTCTGCAAGGGCAGCAGCTAAAAGCTTCAAGCGGAACAAATAAAACGTCTTTCTCTCTACTTTCCCTTTTCTCCGTCTACAGTCAGTATCTCTCTGCTAAGTTCTCCTAACGCTCCGGTGATGTAAAAATCGATGGCAAGGTCATCAGGTTTCCCTTGTTGGCCGCCCCTCCCCTTCCTGCCTGCAATTTAATAATGCCCCTTTAAAGGCAGTGTTTAAGCCTCGCCGAGCGATTGTTTTGTCAATAAGACCTCCTTTTACGAACGTCTTAAAAGCATAGACAGGGAGAGAGCGAGAGGAGAGAGAAAAAGACAGAGCGAGAGGTAGTATTTAAGAGGGCAGAGTGGACGGACGTTGAAGCTATTTAGGAAGGAGCAGCGTGGCACGTACATATATGCCGCTTATCGAGTTTCTGAAAGGACGAGCTGAGGGAAGGGGAGATGAGTGGGAGGTGGAGAAGTGGGGCAGGGTGAGAGGAAAAAACATGACAGCATGGACAGAGAAGAAACCAATAGTACTGTACAGTTTGTTAAACATGGATGTAACAGTGCATAATCAATCAAAGGATAATTCATCTGGGGTCTGACCATTGTTTTGTTAAGTTATGACAGCAATGTACTGTTCTGCACGAAGTTGTGAAGTGACGAAGCTAAACAGGATTCAGGCGGAACAGGAAACAAAGTCAGATGATCAAACAGGTTTTAAATGAACTCCCAGTTCAGGTTTTGAAGAGACAATAGAGGAGAATGTGGAAGTCCTTCCATAAGTGGTCTGTTGTAAATATTCCTTGTCCGTGTCCACTCACTTCTGGTTTTACCACTTCATGACAAAGGTGGAAAGTAACTCATTTATTAACCACTTTGAGTATTTCAATGTTATGCTATACCACTACATCTCAAAGGTTAGCAAATCTAGCTGAACTAGTTCACAGCCTCTGATAGCATCTGACAAAGCTCTGAGATGTTGCCAATAGATATTCCTTAGAGCAGCGGCGTTCCGCTGCTCGAGTCCTCACTAACACTAAGAAAGTGGATCACATCACTCCTGTTCTGAAGTCTTTACACTGGCTTCCTGTGTGTCAAAGAATAGATTTCAAAATACTGCTGCTGGTTTATAAAGCACTGAATGGTTTAGGCCCAAAATACATGTCTGACCTCCTGCTAAATTATGAACCATCCAGATCTCTCAGGTCTTCAGGGACTGGTCAGCTTTCTGTCCCCAGAGTCAGAACTAAACATGGAGAAGCAGCGTTCAGTTATTATGCTCCAAATATCTGGAACAAACTCCCAGAAACCT